CAACCAGCACACACCAAACTCAGACTCAAAGACAGCACAAACAAAACCACTTCAGACCCCAATAGAACAACACCCTCTCCCGACAAAACCAACATCCAAAACCACCCTCAAGCACTCCAAACAGAAAAACCCAGAAGAATACACATTCAAATCTGAGAGAAGCCACTTGATGGAAGGAAAAAAAAGAAAAGAAAAAATGACAAAAGTTAAGACCATATCCAGTCTACCCCTTCCTGAAGACCCTAGGTCATAGTTGAGACCATCATTGGGTAATTGACCCTTTTACACATGTACAAAGATGTACTATGTTTAAATCATCAAAGAAAGTTAGCATAGTCAAAATTATCAAACAAGTTACCAAGCAAACCTCTAAACTACCACAAAATGGAAGGGCACCAAAATCATTCCTTCAACTTTCCCAATAAGCATAAGTTTCAGGTAGCACTTGCTATCACGCATTTGACAGTTATATTCCCTCTAGATACTCCAATAAATTGTGAAAGGGACAAGATACTGAGGAATATTGCTTCATCTACTAAAACTATTCATCAGATAGACTTGGATAAATGAGATGTACCCTGGAATAATCCAATGTTGTTCAAAGAGTTTGATGAAATGAGATTAGACCTTACTGGAGTGGTCATACTCATAACAACAAAGATGAGAAACCAACTCTTCACAAGCTAGCTTTTGCATCAGCTGGAATGGACTAACAGTGCACAGTGGAAGCAGTTGAAGAGAACTGCCAATATTCACTATCCAAACATGTAGAATCTTGGCCCCTAAGATACTTGATAAGAGAAATAAGGAGTGTTGGTTATTCTGAACAGCTCATTCAGGTGGCTCCAAGGATGGGAAACGGTCTCGCTGATGTTCTTGCAAAAGAAAGGGTAACTAGGAATATGTTAATTTGGGGGGCACCAGACCTAGGGTTAGTTTGTCAGGAATGATATAATCTGATTGCATAGTATGACCAGCCTTGTATTGGTGTTTTAGTATACTACATCCCAAAGAACATGGAACCACAGGTTTTATTCATATTTATTAAAAAACACTTATTAAAGTTACTGATAAAGAACATTCTCCACAAGCAAGGCAAAAAATCCCATTAACCAATCATAGCCCTAGCCATTTGAGGTCTTGAGACCTGGGAAGGGTAGACTAGATACAAACCTAACCTTTGGCATTTTTCGCACAAAGTGGCCATGCTCAAACTTTAAGTCGAATTCTCAAACTTGTTAGCCTGTGTAGTCGTATGAGACTACTGACAGCCCAAGATGTAGTGTATAATCAACAGGAAATTAAGAGGATGAGAGGAGAGAATGAGAGGAGGAAGAGAAGAAGATTTCAAAGGAAGGATTTCAGAAAAGAAGTTGATGCTTAATCTGCCGCCCCCTCTTTCTATTTATATTAATTCTGAAGTAAGGATAAGACTGCTTACATGGAAAAATTAAAATCCTAATAAAAGACAACAATTAAAATCATAATAAAAGACTAAAAGACTAAAGTCCTAATAAAAGACTAACAACTAATTGTGGATTGACACTTGAATAACTAGTAGTTGTATACGAGTACAATAGAAAGAGGTGGGGACCACATCAGTGGTTTCTACAGCCTGGTTTTTTTTTTCTCTTTTGACAGTAAAGAAAATTGTTTATTAAAGAAAAAAAGTAGTACGGTTTTCATGGTAAAGAAAAAAAGAAACTAGTACAGTCTTTGATGATAACTTGATAAGATCACCAAAACAAGATCCAAAATAAACTGAAACATCACCAGCCCGACAAATAAAATCCAGACTACTATTTAAAACCAAATTCACCTCCTAGCTTCTCAATGCAACACCTAAAAAAAGAAAAAAAGAAATGCAAATCCCCCTTCCATCCAACTAATGTTCTAACTCAAGATTACTACCACCCACCACTCCTAAAGAGAGAAGCTTGATTATCTACAAACATAGCTTTAAAACCCACTCACCTCCTCTTCCATCCCCTTACACCTTTCACCCTTCTTTACATTTTTGCAACTTCTCAATCCAACCAACTTGTTGCTATTGCACCAAGCATCCCCCCCCCCTCCTTTTGAAAAAAAAAAAAAGGACTAACTGAAATTCATTGGAGAAAAGCATGTACATGAGAAGATGTACAAAGGAGAAAACAGAGAAACACATTTCAGTTACAAGGGTAAAACATTGTCACTATACAGATCTTCCCTGTTAACCCTAGATTTTGCAAAGACCACCTGCTATTGTGTTAAACTCTCCAGGGATCCAAACAAGGTTTACATCCATGAGACCCAACAAATCTCTAGCCTTAGTTAAGTCACAAACCAACCACCAAGGACCACCATCCTTCTCCCCTAACCATTTGATTGTGTTAGCAGAGTCACCTTCAATGGTTATGCTCGTAAGACCCAACCCTATAGCAATTTGAATCCCAGTAAGAGACGCCAGCACCTCAACCTTTGAAGAGTTAGCAAACCCGATAGAGCCACTGTAAACCCAACAAATATTACCATCTCTCCTTGTGATCACTTCTCCAATACCAGACACACCCAGGTTCCTTAAAGCACTGCCATAAAAATTTAATTTCACTACCCCCTACTGAGCAGAGGAATGACCAGAGATCTGAGGGAGGAGTACAGGAAATTAGTAACATTTCTCTGCAGGTCACTTTCTGAGATTCCTTTGAACAGCTCAGAATTAACAACCCACATGTTGCAAAGGTAGGTAATGTGGGAAGTCAGGTCTTCAACTGCTTTGGCCTTGTTATCAAAACAATTGACTGTTTCTTTCTTCCCAAACACCCCATAATACAGCATGAACCACTGGTGGAGAAGGTATAAGACAAGTTGCGGAGCAACCCAACTAGCTTTTATGAGATTATAAAATGGTTCCACATTTTCCTTGATTCCTGACAATGGGTCAAGAGGTGTTCAGCAGATTCTCATCCCAAAGGCATAAGATGCAAGTATGGGGGGAGATAAAAAGTCTACCATGGTTCATCTTTTGAATGTATCATATGTATTTATTCTCTTTAGGCAAGCTTCCCAAACAAAGAAGTAGACTATAGATGGAACGTGGGAGTACCAAACTTCTGAGGGGAAGTTGGTACTAAGCTCTTTGGCTTTTAGATCCTTGAAA